ATATTAGTGAAATAAACTACCATTTATTCTACTAAAATTGAATTTCTGACATTGTAAGAAGATTCAATGTTACTATGTATTCAAAACTAACCCATGTAGTTATGAAATAATTGTTTTTACCAAAAAAAGTGTTCCCGAAGTATTTGTACCAAGATGGCGCACAACCTGAACATTGTATGTATACCAGGTAAGGGTTCGGGATTGCTTCATCTTGGTACGAATACCTAAAATCCACTTAGAAAAAATTGTTCAACATTATATAGTCCACACCAACCTGGGTCATCGACATTATATCTAAACAATAAAAAAAACTTTATGTCCCAAAACAATGTTAAGACCCGATTCTGCCGCACTAGTACTGTTGTTCACTAATTTAACAGTCTATAAGAATGTCTAAAGAAATAAGTGGCAAACGATATGAATTTTTGCATTATTCAATATCAGTGTATTTGATATTGGGAGATTGCAGAGAGAAAAAATTACATCCTTAATTATTGTGTAATTTTTCACTAACGTCAAGCCTCCGAGCAGCTATAAGTTGGTAATAATTGTATTGAAAAATCACATTGGCATTTTGTGTCCAGAGTTATATCGCTGTATGATCCTAACTAAGTCAGTGGTTCTCAAACTTTTTGAAAAATTATGCATAACGGTCCCCTTGCAATTATTCTGGTGACTCGCAGTCCACTGAAAAAATGAAAGCAAATGGCAACGCGGTATATCAAGCATTCATCTATTGAATGACATTAAAATACTTTAATGAGATGGGTGCGCCTTCTTGGCTCTCTTTAGTTCTTCTACCTTGGGTTCTGTTTTGGATGATGCAACTCTCATATCGTGTCTCACCTTCATTCTGTTTCAACATTTTGTGTTAATAGCGAGTAACGTAGGAAAAGCTACTGCACATTCGTAAGTTGTTGCAAATTGAATGAGCATTTTTAGTGCCATCTTAGCGACATCGTGATAGGACGGTGCCACTGTGGTTTTTCTTTTCCTCCAGAACTCATCTCCAGCAAAAATTAAATTTTCGCACATGTTTCTCAGATAACTTGGCTCGGCGGTCAGCATATACGACTTCACTCGATAAATCAACACCCAAAAGGCCAAAAATATTAAACAAAGAGATACACATTTTATTATAAAAATTCTTGATGTATGTATCGCTACTTGCACAAAACCTATTTTAACAAACTGGCAGAACTACAACACAAATTACACTACAGAAACTATTTGTACATCATGATTTCTTTTCAATCACGGATCAGGACGACAAGTCTGAAATCCAGTCCAATGCCCTTATACCCATGCAGACTATGCCGACGGAAGTTTTATGGATCATTCGCTCTTCAATAGAGATCACCGTAGTATATATACCACGTAAAGTGGTAAGCTTCCTGTCATTACATCCGCTATATGTGGGATGGTATTTACTGAGTTGCGGTTTTGCGCCGTCAACTGGGCGTTTTATACAAGGGATTTGAGAAGCGGAATTGATTTATGAAGTGTCCAAAGAACCGAAATGAGAGACATCAGAGAAAAGTGCGGCGGTATATTCGACTCAAGGTTCGCTGGTGCTGATGTCGTTGCTTCCCGTGTTGTTTCGAAAACCGACGAAGACGTGGTGACACAGGACTCATAGTTATTAATCCTCACTTTGATGTAAGGATTGCTCTTTGGAAGGGGAAGGAATGGCGTGTTTCCAATAGTTGACGACTCCTTCAATTTGTAGATTTGCCTTGATGGTCTCGATAGCAGTTGTGGAGACGGAGTTTTGAGTGGACTCACGATAGTTTTGACGTCCTCACATTCCGACCAGTTTCTGATTTCTTTTAGGCAATTTAACTCCGTGTCGGAAATTGAAAAATCACCTACCTTGTCGGGTATTTCAGCAGGCTGTGTGTCATTTTGGCTCTGTTCTTCCTTCACTGTTGTTTCAGCCGGTTGTGGGTTGTTCTGTCTCGATACCAATTTTGAACATTTCGTACCGTTCCACAGCCTAGCTGGTTGATCTTCGTGACCGCTGTGCTGTATGAAGTCTCTGTCGGGATTCCCCGTATGGAGTTCCGGATAGAAGCTTTACTTGGCAATGATACATCAATGGTGCTCTTAGCTATTTGTATCTGTCCACCTGTTGGATAAAGAAAACACTCTCAGCAACTGAAATTAGGGCTGTCAGTTGCCGCAAAGGTGAGAATCCAAGTCTCTCTGAGACCTTCGAACAGCCCTTTGATCTGATCGCAGAACCTTCTTGTTGTGGAGTTGTTTCGGAGGACGTCCATCATCTCAGGAACATCCATGTCTTCAGGAAGAGCGTCCGAGGTCGAGAAACTTCTTCTGTGGTAGGAGTCGAGGAAACGGCAGTTGCGTAATTCATCTTCTGTGTCTTTTACTTGTAGTCGATCCTTTCGCTGTCGAGGGCCTAACCCCGTGAAAGGATGCCTTAATCAAATCGGTCATGATATTAAAATATGCGTATCGCAAATTTTCAACAAAGTGTACATTGCCGAAATATATTAAAAAAATACAACATGCATGGAATAGAAGATAACGGCATATATCAAAGTTACAAGAACATCTAATAATATGGAGTGTATACAATAATATATTATCTATTTGACTTGCTGCTGTTTTACTAACATACTGCTTTTTAATAATTTTATTTGTATTCTCTTTTGCGTGAATATTTAACCTCATATTGAGAAAACGTCTGAAAAACTTCAGGTAAAGCTTTTCAATATTAAACAATCAAATTGGAAGCATCTTGATCGAAAGAGTGTTCTGCTGGGCTTTGAAATTTGACTAAATTAGCATTTTTCGCTATACGTAATTTTTGCAAATTATACCATTTTCACTAGGAGAATACCCTAAATCCTGACAAAAAGAAGGCTTAAGTTCGAGTTTTGTGAAAAATTTCAGGTGAACCTCTTAAATATTAAAGAATCAAATCAGATGCCCCTTGAGCGGGAGAGAGTGTTGCTGGGCTTTGAAATTTGGCTAAATCAGATTTTTTGCTATACGTAATTTTCCCAAATTAGGCCATTTTTACTACGAGAATACCCTAAATTCTGACAAAAAGAAGGCTTAGGTTCGAGTTTTGTGAAAAACTTCAGGTGAACCTCTTTAATATCATATATTCAAATTGGATGCCTCCTGAGGGATAGAGTGTGCTGCTGGGCTTTGAAAGTTGACTAAATTAGCATTTTTCGCTATACGTGATTTTTCAGAATAAGGCCATTTCCGTTACGAGAATACCCTTGATTGTAAAAAAAAAGGCTTGAGTTGGAGTTGTGTAAATAACTTCAGGTGAACCTCTTTAATCCTACATAATCAAATCGGATGCCGCTTGAGCGCAAGAGTGTGCTGCTGGGATTTTAAAGTTGGCTGACTTAGCTTCTTTCGCTATACCTAATTTTTTCAAATAAGGCCATTTTCGCCACGAGAATACCCTAGATTCTGAAAAAAGAAGGCTTAGGTTCCAGTTATGTAAAAAACTTGAGGTAAACCTCTTTGATATTAAATAATAAAATCCGATGCCTCTTGGGAGTTAGAAAATGCTGCTGGGATTCGAAAGTTGCCTAAATTAGGTTTATTGACCTTTGTAAATTGCAGAATTCTGTAGTTTTGGTTTTAGTTTGGTCGTGGCAGCATCAGGCGGGCCAGATTGAATTACCCAACGGGCCGGATTTGGCCCATGTCAGTTCTTACCTGTGGCCTAGTTAAATTGTGAAAATTCCCAAAGGTTTCAGTATTCGCGATTTACGTATAAGCTTACCTACTTTGATAATTAATAGCCCTTTGTTTGCCCCCTCGTGTAGTTCAATTTCATCGCTATCAAATTAATGTTTTTATTAAATATGTAGCGGACCTATGGACTGTTTTGCTAATATATTGTTGTCAGTATTCTTCATCTTGGTATTCTTGTTGTTGTTGTGGAATACTCGCTTTTCTCTTTAACTATTGGATCAGTTTCACTGATCTGAAATTTCAGTGTTGAAGGATGGTGTTTTTTGTTTGTGGGTAAAAACACAACTGTTCAGAATGCTTGAATGTGCTATGGATATAATATAAACATGAATTATAGCACTAGGCAGAATGCAGTACAGCAAGAGAAAGAGCTCAACAATGACATAATTAAAGCAGTAATAATGACGTCATGAATATCGCCTTACATCCCCTTTTCCTTTGAAAAAATACCAACAATATCTACACATTAAAATACAACACTAATGCAATAACACAACATCATCAATGCTTATTGGAATGTACACATCTCATTTAGAACAATTTTTCATCCATCAACAATGCTATAAAATACAATATTCACTTCAAAGAATCACCAGAGTAATATCTTGGATTCTCTATCCACTTCTAGTACAAGTCATACTGGGCACAAAATTGGAATTATCATTTACAATGGCTTCTTTTGTGAAGCAATTGATCATGCACTTCTACCAAATTTTCTGGTACTCCTGTGGCATTGCGAACCAAGATGGCGGACACCTGAACGAAGTATGTGTACCAGGTTAGGGTTTGGCCATAATTTCAGATACCAATATTATGGGAGTCACTTGGCTAATCCCCGAACTCGTAATAGAACTAAAATAGGGAAAATTGGAGTGAAATTATGGCCTAATCCTAACCTGTTACGTATAGACGTTGTGGTGCCCGCCATCTTAGTTCGCATACTCCAGGAGTACCGTTTTTTCTTTCTAGAATTCAACAAATTCTTTTTTATACAGGTATATCATCTTTAGTTTGACGCGATAACAAACGATGTGCAGAGGAACAAAGCCTTTTATCTTTGGACACATTTTGAATGTTTAATAAAGCAAGGTAAGGATCAAATCGTCTACATTTCTCAAGTAAATTTCGAGATCGTTTTACAGCATTTTCAGCTAATTCATTGCTTTGAAAAAATTCAGGATAATTCTAATTTTGTGCCCGGTATAACTTTTTCTAGTGAAAGTGAATGGAGAATGAGGCCAAATCCAAGACTCAACTCAAGTCATTTTGTGAATATTGGGAATATTGCATTTGGCACCAGTATCAATATTGTGTTTGACACTGACACTGTTAATATTCACATTTAAACCAGCATAAGCTTCATCAGAATCAGTATTCTTAGCTGAAAAAAAAAAAATGAAATGAACCAACAATAATAATCAGCAATATACATGTCATTAATCTTAGCACTGGTATCTGGTTTTCATTGGTATTCATGAACATCATATAAATGCTTATATGCACTTGTATCTTTTTTAATGTTGAGAAACAGAATCAACTTCTTGCGTCGCAGTTACGAATAGCGATTTCATTCTCTCATTTATAAGTTCATGTATCACGAATATATGAATAGCTTTTTTCAATGTAAGATTAGCTACTTTTAGCAATTGTCGTTGCAGGTTATCATAAGAAACGTCAAAATTCTATCTTCAATCAACTCATCTTTGAGATCACTCAATTTACAATACTTTGCTTTGTTTTTCAATTCTACAACAAATAATTGAATTGATTCACCTGGCATCTGTGCTCTCATGTTACATTGATGTCTTGTTGTTCCTATGTTTGACTTGCTTGGGTAGGCACATTTCATTAAATTTTCTTTCCAGGCATTCAATTAAATCAAGCAATATGAAGGCTTTAGATTTGTCAGTGTTTTCGCTATGCAATGCCCTGATGAAAATATCATATTGACGAACGAATATTCTCCAGTTTTCAGCAGCATTCACATAAAAAAAACTGAGGATCTGGTCTTTTCAATGACGAATCAGCCATCTCTAAATTAATTTCTCAATGACACTTTTTGAATTCTTCAAGCCCGATTCTGACGCCATGTTTGTTTGTGGGTAAACACACAACTATTCAGGATGCTTGAGTATATTATGGATATAACATATAGCACGAGGCGTCATTGAGCATTGATAATGACGTCAAAAAAATCGTCTTACAGTGCTGTTACTAGAAGGTCATTTATTTTATTTATTCCGAAAATTTTGTGACTTCAATGAATTCATTTTTTATGCTGGCTTTATGTATCCACCAGCAATCTTCCGTATTCACGTAAAGTAATATTCTTCACTGTAGCTACATTGAATTCTCGTTTGTCAATTCAACGACAAGATTCTTGATTGCCGTCCTCACTCACACTTCCTACAGTATTAATTCTTGCATTATGAATCCTTCGGCATAAGTTTTGAAGGACTTAGAATAATTGAATCTTACTTGCATAATAGATCCACCGGCGAGATACTTGAATAATCGCTTCGAATAGTTGCCTCAACTCTTTGCACAAGATCCTCGCACTATGACTTCACCAATAGGGCTATTGAATCACTTAAAATAACTGTCTTCACTTTTGTTAAATTATGTTTAAATTGCGGATACACAAGCAAGAGTATTGGATTAGGCTACTTTCAATAGTTGACTTCACTCTTGCCGCATCGTCCTTGAATTGCGAATCAACCAGTATGACTGTTGTATCACTTAAATATCGCAATTGTCTTCACCCTTTTTGCAGTGTCCACCCAACAGGAACCACCAAAAAAAAACCTCTTGATTTGAAAAAAAGTAACTGTCTTTACTCTTGCTACGGTATCCTTGAATTTCATATCCAAAAACATATAAGTGGGATGAATAGTTTATCCCGGAGAACCCGGTTGATAGCATTATTGAGTTAGATACCAATGGGAGATTTCTGTGTTTATTTGGAAACAGCAACATGGTCAGTTGTGTCGGCGTTACAGTAGTCTCTGAGTTGGTGATGAGATAAGAAACTTAGAGTTCGTAATCCCGCTAATTTGATCAATAATCTAGAATAAGTATTATCCCACATTCCTCTCGACGCGGTCATGCTTCGATGCAGCACATGCAACAGTACATCTTGGAGTTTACGTACAGATTTACTGTCGACAATACCTGATCGATCTAAATGCAAGTGTTATAAGTTGACAAACCCACCTATTCGTATGAACTAAAACTTTTTATGTGACTGTATTATTGTAAAACGTCAATACTGAATCTGAACCACCAGTAATGATCCATTTAATTCTTTTTTCTTTTTAATATGGTTAACGCGCCTAAGATTGAAATAATATTTTCTGTTGAATTTGGTCATATCTGTTTGCAAGTTTAGACCAAACCGGACATGATACTAATTTGCAGTGGCGGCGCGTGGTCATTTTGACAACCGGGGCAAGCTACTGCGGGACCAAGTCACCCCCATCTACGGGGACAGGATGAGCGCTGTAAGTTCTCCCATCATTTTATGAGTATAAAAACCATTCCATCGGTAACAACCAATCGGCAAAAGCGACAATTTTTAACGATAAGAAAGTGTCTTTAAAACCGGTCGGAGTCAAGGGATTAATAAATATAGACATAGTTTATTTTGAAACCTCTTTCAAAAGGAAAGGCAATATTTACCCAGATAAATACAATGACATATTAACAGAAACTTCGGGAAAGCAGACAAAACCTAAAATAAGATTTAAAACGTTACTATGAAGAAAGGAAAGTTAATGCAAAGATAAGGACATGCGTCGCTCACTCATAGATATATATGCTGCTAGACTTCTACTGCTTGAACATATATGCGACACGCCGCGGTTTCTTGAAAGCAAAATGCTCAATAACGCGCTGATTTAAGTCATGCATCCCAGAAATAACGTCTCTGTGAATGGATAAAACAGCCAAGGAATTTAATCTATCTTGCTTCATTGTGTTTCTGAGATACGTTTTAATACGCTTCAGCGTGCTGAATGTTCGCTCTGCGTCGGCGGAAGAAATAGGCGTCGTCAAAATGATGTCCAGAAATTTTGCAGACGCCGCAAAGGTAGTTACTAGAGTGTTATCTATGAGGAACCCATAGAGCGCGGAAGTTGATGTGATGTTCAAAAAAGTTTGATTGGTGTATATACATCGCAATTCATTTTCCAATTTACCCACGTTTATCATGGGGTAAAATTTGGAGACAGTAGCCAACAAATGGATGGGAAATTGACGTGCAAATTTTGAAAAATTGGGGTTGGGGGGGTTCATCAAAGAGAACGCGGCAAGGTGTTCAGTGCGCAGACGATCGCCTATTTGATTCATCAGAATGTCACAGCATTCCTTTGCAGACAAAATCAAACGCTGCGTTGTTTGCCCGCGGCGTAAAGAAGCACTCCATGTGTCGTCGTATTTTATTGTTTCCCGGATACGAGATTGCACAGACGACTGCACAGACGCTCCATCCATTAGCCTTGACTGTAATGCGCCGTATAATACATCCACGTGATAGAATATTGTGGAGAAAAAAGCGAGAAAAAATGAAAACTCACCATTTTCTAGCAGGCGCTTTAGACCTGCCGCCTCCCTCACAGAGCGTTCGTCCCAAACCGGAGAGCTCTAAATGCCATTGAAACACTCAATGAGCTCAGACCTAATTTCGGACACGCCCTGCACCACGCGTGATTGAAAGTTCCAACGTGTTGGTGCACAAGCTGGGAGACGGCTGCTACATATCTGGCGAAGGAGGTCAGAGCGCATCGGCGAAACGGAAAAAAATGAAAAAAACCCCGAAACATTTGCAAAAAATAGACGGACGAGAGGGGTATCAAGACACATATTTTTAATAACGAGATTAAATTGGTGTGCATAACAATGTAAAAAATGCGCATGAGGAAAATCTTCTTTTATATAAACTTGAACACCATGTTTCGACCCACTCATGACTGCCGCGCCGTCATAAGTTTGAGCTATCAATTTTGACTCCGCGTTGTAAAGCTGTAACACTTCTTTCAGTACAGCCGATATCCCGCAAGCCGTGCGACCAACGATTGGTACAAAGCTGTAAAATCTCTCGGTAGGTTTACCATCTTTCACAAACCGAAATATCACAGCCAGTTGGGAAACGCACGTGATGTCAGTTGTCTCGTCAGACTGAATCGAAAGGAACTGGCAATTCTCAATTTCCAGAGCCAAATGTTGTAAATAAATTTTATACATTGAGTCGAGCAAATCATTTTGGATATCCTTAGATGTCCCTTTTGAAACAGTTGTGGCATCAAGATGATCTCTCAATACTGTATCTAGGGATGCGGTGTATTCCACCATAATCCAAAAATACCCCTCTATTAGAAGAGCCATCGTGCTCACGGAGGGACAACTCGTGACAACCAATGAACTTCAAAACATCTATCAATCGACCGAGAACATGGCGGTTTTTTTCGACGTTTTGGTTGTGCCGACGAATAGAAACCGCGCGTCCTTCATCCAACTGTGCTGCAATATTAACATTTCCGAATGTTCGGTATTTTACTGCATTGTCCAGATGCTCCATAGAAGATTGATGATCCCTGGCACGCTCGGAAAGATGTTTAAGATCTCTAAAACCAAATTTACACCAACGTGAGTCACGGGCGGTAGCAAAAAGTAGGCAATAAAAACAAAAAAGTGAATTTTTGTCCTCGCTGTAACACAACCATTCGTGTTTTTCATACCAAGTTTCTGCGCAGAATGTACGCCGACGCTTTCCTCCGTCATGGGATTGTTCCAGTGAACAATTTTTTGGTTGATAAGGCCCAAGACGTTGTACCTCTAATTTTTGTTCCAGCGGCAGCTGCGAAAACAGAGTGCGAAGTAGTGCATCAACCTTATTCATTATGAGGTCTAAGGCTAAGAAATGCGAAGCCGGAAAGAAGCGAGGAGTTCAAAAGGAATGTGGAAAATCGAAAGCAAATGGACTACAGGTCTCTAACTGATTCAAATAGCGAAACAAGCGACAAAAACGAAGGCGAGGAAACTATCAACTCTTCAAGCAACCAACGAACGAGAAGGAATGCGTGAATATGTCAACACGTTGTTGTAAGAAACGTCGGCATTGTGTCGTCATAATTTCGGGGCTAGCCCCGATCGGCCCCGATGATTTAGTAAAAGAAACAGAAAACAAACGAGACAAACGCGGCGAGTGGAAGATAAAAGAGAGAATACGATATACAATGAGCAACCGGGGCAAAATCGGCTTCGCCCCGTCGACGTTCGGCGAAGGCTTTGCGAGCGAAAAATGAACCATGTCGGGAGAATATGGCTAGATATTGATATTGGCTGGCCGATATTGAGGTATTTTTCAAATATTTTTTATTATACCGAAAAAACAACCGGGGCATTGCCCCGGTTGGCCCTATTGACGCGCCGCCACTGCAGTAATTTGTACTACTCACCGCAGGTAATCAGTACCAAAGCTGTGAATATGGCAACTTCTTCTGGGCTAAGACCAAGGGAACTAAATTGTTCAGCAAAATCGAATGTACATTTGGCGAATTCTCCCATATCTGAGTCAAAATATATGTAACGTTAAATTGTTCAATTGGATGATTGTGCATTTGTATAGTATGAACAACTCGTATATCATATTTGTCGATATAGTAATAGAAAATGAACATACCATTGGAAACTAATTCAGATAAACCACTCTGTTTTCCATCTGGAAATAGAAATGTTTGGTTGACCGGGTTATAACCAGATAACATAACGATGAGCATGACCTATAAATGAAGTTAAAATATTTCTATTTATATAAATCAATCAATTATAGTTACATCTGTGAAAGTCTCGGCCCACAGCCGGCCAGAGAAGGAGACATGCTGATTTGAACGACGCATATAAAATGGAAAAAAAGGGAACATATAAAAAGAATTATAGACATATCAGTTCTGCGTCCATATCATATCACAAACGTTGCATCCTAGTCGTCCTGGGAAACTTTGTGATCGAATTGTTAATATTGCACAAATTACTAAACTTTCTTGTGATAATCAGTGAATTTGATGATTGAATGAATTTGGTCTATTTCATCTGTGAACTCACCTTGAGCAAAAATCGAAAAGATGAAACTTTTCGAAGGATCAAGATTCAATATAAAATAGATTATGTAACGTCTGAATCAAAGATTATTTAATTTTGGCCTTATTGTTTGTTTTGTCAATTACCTCGAGTAATCCTTTTTTTAAGAGATGGATTTGATCCACTACCTTTAACATATTGGTAAATCCAGGTATTTGTTTTGCGAATTCAACGACTTCACATATCGCCATGTTGAATGGTGATGTGTTTTGTATTGTAACGTTACATGTTGCTTTCTGCCAGTTTCGTATGAAATAGAGTACAATATTATAACTTTTTGTACATTGCACTAGTTTAATATTGAAAAAAATGATATAATTTCTTTCTTTGTAAAATACTACTTAATGGTATCGCGCACGTCGTTATAGTCCACCAACAGTTTTATTGTTCAATGCATCGGATCTCTTCTGAAAAATCGAAGTCAAAACAATGGATCACATCAAACAACACGCATCCGTGAGTGTTGTCATTTTAGCATAAAGCTGTGTATTATTTAGTTGTGTTTTTATTCTTTACCTCGAGTTGACTGTGTCTCTTTCCCTCAAATTCTGGGCTTAGAAAAAATCCTCGCTTGGCCAGAAAAAAAGTGGCTTGGAAACCGACACGAAGTGTATTTGCAATATCATCATATACACAGGGGCTTTGCTTGTACTCCGAATGCTACAAAATATTATAACGGTAGAAATGGAAGGTATTTGAATTCCGGAAGCTTGTTGCTTTCTACTGATTGCGTGATTATACTGTACAGCTTGTATTAAACTTATGTTAAGCCTAAATGTTAAGAATAGGTAGGGCTACCATATTTTTGTGACCTCAAAGCGGGACGCCTCAAAAGACCATAGCTGTGATTTTTTAAACTTTAAATTTACATCGGTTTCAGGCCAGCACGTATTTTATAAATAATTTGTTTTCAAAACAGATTGGTATGATTGTAATTTTACATAAACTTAGTGTCTTGGATATATGTGATACGAATAAAGGGCTGTAGTGTTATGAAGTGAAAATTATGTTTTTTAAATTACCTGATTGCTCAAATTTGTGTTTACTACGTTGTTCATGCTCGCCAATGTGTTACTGTATTGATATTCATTGTCTTTGCTTGAAAATTCGCACTCAACTCGGGAGGAGCAAGAACTGTCGTGGGATGATGCTGACCACAAACGCTTCTTCTGGTTGTATGGTGTGTATGGCAAATTTGAGGCAGGCAAAGAATTGCCCTTTGCATTTTCATTCAGTCGTTCGGGAAATTTATCAAACGAAAAGTATTGATCTTTTTTGTTCAAAGTCGACAACTGGATATGCCCATGTTCCTTTTCCCTTGGATCATATTGCAAAGCTTCGATGAAGTTCGGCTGCCTAATTTTTTCAGATGTGGATTTTTGATTTTCAACGACGGATATTGGGCTCCAATGAGGTTCATTTGATTTACAGGCAGAATATACTAATTTCTGCCGTGTTACTGAATTCCCACTGTCTCTGGAAACGTTGAGAACGCCATCACCAGCACTTAGCAAGTGCGAATGGTTTCTTCTTGTTACAGACTGGCCGCTTCCCTCGTTTTCGATACGACTTTGTATCAAATATTTTGCAGTTGGTAAATGTTTACTTTTTGCTTTCTTGGCCGGGTTTATCAATACATTAGCGTGATTTATTGTTTTGCGGGCGTCAGTTGTCAGCTTTAGTAACTTTTCGATGCTCCCGGTAGCATTCTCATCCGATCGAGCATAGCTTCTAAACGTTAAATTTTTACTTATGAATATCATAAATCAAAAAGTACACCGAGTAGTTATAATGCTATAAATTGCCTAACGAACAAGACAGAATTTGGAAAAATTTTCCGGGGTTAGAGATGACTTTATTACTTATCGATTTTAATCACTAAGTATGTTGATAGATATTTGTCTGTCTGTCTGTTAGATGCACGCGATATCTCACGAAAGCGAGATTAATTCTGCTCCAGATTTTGCATGTACATTCATCATATCTCGGACCAGAAGCCTATTGATTTTGGGCAAATGATGCCGTATAATTAGCGAGTTATTAATTAATTAGTGACGGGTCACAAGGTGTCACTATGGAGTAAGAGCGCTGTTTTGGGGGATCCCCTAACTTTCGATCGATAAGTCTTCGGTCTCGGACCGATATTCTCGTTTATCACCTTATAGCATTTCCAAATCATAGAAATTCTGGAGAAAAGTGTTCCATATTATGCAATTTTCTTCACATGGGATAAACGTTACGTCATTTTCAATCGCGCGGATATAGAATGTGAAATTATCGTGTATACGTTTGTTATTTTAGAATGTAGAATATCTAAGCCGCGAGCAATATTCTCTGTCAGCAAATACATTAATACCTCCACGATGAATATCTTCGTTTCAAAATTTTAACCTTTTCTCTTTTTGGTATTCTTCCATACTTGACGGCTAAACAAGAGATAAGAATATAATTAATTTTTGTGGCTTGAATTTATTACTTGTAGATAAAAAAGCAAACATATAAAATCCCGTCCAACCTTTTCGAGACATTCCGACTTTTACGCATGTCTCATATCTACATGACTGACACCTGTTTCTAGACTCTCTGTTAATTTCGCAATTTCCTCCTAATTTGCATACTGGATATTTCAGATTCTGTCCCGTGGTTCGCCGGAAAAATCCCTGTAGAATTTAACACATGAAAATAAAAATACTAGTGTATAATTAAGTTTCAAATTTATTTTCAGACAAAACAAATAAACGATATAGAAAATATTAACCAAATAATCTATTCAACCGATAAATACAAATTAAAACTCAAATATTTTTCAATGAGGAGTAAGGAATAATGAGCGTTTCAGAAAACTGTTTTTTTAGACATGTACTGTTACACAGGGGCGCTGCCAAGATGTTCAAAAGTGCGGCGGTTACAAAATCGAAATCCGATGAAAGGCTTTTGAAATGGTCTTCGCGATTACGCGTTTATTGAAAGAGCAGGCTCACTTTGCGGACAGAATAATGTGTAGTAAACTGTCCGATTATAGATTTTGATGCATATTTATGCAAACTTGCGAATTCGTTATCGCCGTTAGAAAAATTCCAAGATCTGCAATAAAATCCCAAAGATTACAAATAAATTTAGTTTAAAATACATATGAAGTACATTTGTATATCAAAAGTACATCTTCATCGCCTCGAAGTTCATATCGAAATGGCTTCTAAACTTGCCACTCGATAAAAGAGTCGACGATTTCAAAGGATATATAATGATTCTCCTGTTGCATAAAGTATTCAACTCTTGACCGATACGGGCACATTTAAAATGTCTTGCTATATTAATTTAATTTTATTCAAATTACCCTGCGGTTGAACCGGCAAAATAAGAGCACCACTGTTCTAAAATACCATGAAAAGCCGCGGACATAAAAATGTGTGGTAAATTGCCTGATTAAATCTTGTTGCGATTTGTATGTTTGCGAATTCAGCAAATCTGAGCTGTTCTAGCAACCGCTCTAACGCAATGCTGCCACTCAAGATTATTTTCAAGATATCAGCGTTAAAAAATCCTGTTTGCAATTAAAGAGTAAGGAGTAAAAATTTTTAAAAAAATTAGTTGAATATGCTTTACGTTAATTATCTTATATATTCTTAATCCGGGAAAAAGTCGCGTCAGACCCGTTGGTAGTTTTAGAATGAATAAAAGGGTACTTCACAATTTTGTGACTCACGACAACTAAAGAGGCGTTTTAATCTGTTGCGGTCCTCCTAAAACAAAACTTATGGTGTTGTCCGTTTTATTCTTAGTATTTTAAATTGCCGCTTCTCAATCTGGAAAATTTAGGTCGCGGATTTACATCTTTATTTACGGCTTAAATAACACACAACGCCGACGTGAACAATTGTTGATTTCAACAAAATGCAATCGCACACGTTATTAGACATTTTCATTCTTCCACAAATTTCAAAATAGGGAGGGGGGTGTTTGATTTGCGTGAGAAACAATTCAACAACTTCAATAAAATCGTATTTTAGGTCTATCGGCCCTACATTTATTTCAATTATCATACCTTGCACCCCTCGCACGCATCTACTCCGTAATGCACACCCGAAGCATTGTCACCACATACTCGACAGAGTACAGCAAATTTGTATTCACCATCTAGAAAAGAAAATAGACCATGACCTCAGTTATAAAAACTGTCGTTTGGTGATGCCTATTTACGTTATTCGTTCCGAACAAGGCCATGTTGAAGCATCATCTGATATCGCCTGATATGTTATGAGCTACTATTTTTGGAATGACTGGTATCTTTCACGGTTTGTCATTGCTTACCCAAACACCCTGGATAAGTTGGCGAGCATGGTAACCTGTGATGCCATAAAATAAATAATCAAGTTTAACGCTTCAGCCACTAGACTAGGAAGGAGGTCACTGTGGCATTGTTGTTTTTTGTTCCATGAATTTGCGACGCTATCATCATTACATTTCGTGTTTCAGGATCACCTTCGTATGCCCATCGAAATATTTTGACTAAAAATAGTTTTCAGATTTTCAATATGCTAATGCAGTATAAGTTACCGACGTATGTCATGTCTTTTTACTATTATATGTTCAAAATGTTTGAAATAGACGAAATTATCAGAGACATATACGATTTACCATATTTCTCAAAAAAGTTTACGATTATAATTATTTTAATTCTAAATTTTTTTATTTATGATTCAAAAATAGATTTGTTGATAAGTTGGTTGTTAGTTTATCGTGAAAGTATTTGGATAATGCTCATGCGGTAATATTATAGTGAATGGTAATCATTCAAGTTCACCGCTGTTTACTTCATAACTACGCAGATCTCGCCCAGTCATCTAAATTCTAATCTTAATTTCTTTATCCTGGCCTGGAGCTAAATGATACGTCGAGTGACCCAGTTTGCATGCAAATATGTAGTGAGAATTAGACTGATTTAGTGTTAGCGATTTTTATCTTCACTGATGTAAACATTCCGCTTTGTTCATGAACATGGTCACGTATGGCAGAATTCGTTAACTATATATATTTATTTTACACCTTCAAACGATAACAAATAATAGGGCATTCGTATAAGTAATAAAGTGGGATATTTAGTGATCCAATGTTTTTTGAAATGGCCTGATTTATACAAAAGTCATATTTTTTAGCAAAAGTCATTAAATTTGCCTTCGCGAATTGCCATTAAAATTCATATAAGAATAAACTTGCTGACCTATGAACGAAATAAACATCACATTTCAATTTTAAATACCGTAAGTGTTTTTAGTTTTGTTGGGGATTTCAAGATATTTATCTTTCGATAATCCAAAAAATCAGCGGGATTATATGATTGAATTCTCTCAAGTTATGTTTCATAAATTCATTAATCAACATTAGCATTCAGACACTCGTGACAAGTTATCAACTACAACGTGAAATTCATACAACCTAAGGTTTTTGTTTAAGTGTGAGAGACCGCATTAAAAAGCACTGGTGCTCTTGAAAACATCTCTGAGTGAGTCGTAAATATAATTTTTATACATGAAATAATTTAGAAAAATTGTTTACCCAATATTTGATCCAGTGTAGGAGTCTGTGTTCTTGTTTCATTCATTATAATTGTCTTTTTAGTTATCGATTACTGTCATTGATTCAATGCAACACAAACTGAAATAGCAAAAAGAAAATACTTTTTGTCGTAGATAGGCTAAATATAGGTAATATAATACAGCGCGCGACGCTTCACTGAATTATAGTAACAAAACAGCTGTTTTTACGATTATATTCTTTACGAAACCTAATTTATTGTGAGACACGTGTAGACTAAATTATGTTATAATCTAATAGTATAAAATAAAATTCACAAATACTCGTTAAATGAGCCTATAATTTACTTATAATTAAACAAATGGAAGCAAAACGCAGAAAAGTTGATGCTAGGCGCCGACGATATTCAAATGGAATTTTTTGAGATGCAATGCAATGAGGAAAAAAGTCTATATTTTATTCGAGAAATCACTACTTGATTTTTAACATTAAAAAGTACTATCCGTTCGGTTTTTAACTTTATAAAAATATGTGCGGCCCGCCAATGACTTGCAACCCTTAATTTTGGCCCGCGAGCGCGAAAGGTTGCCGAGCCTTGCCCTAGGCCATGCCTACCCAATTTATATAATACAAAAGTCTGAAACGTGAGTTTGTTTAGATAAAATCAATGAAGTTCGTAATTACTCGCTAATGAGTATGACTGCGAAAAATGCTCAAATACCAAATCGAATATTAGAATATTCAAAAGGCGTTTACTATTCGAATATCAGGTAACACGTAGCCTTGTGTCACTTGTCGCTTGGATTGCACAAAGCACGTGCCGACTTCAGATGAACACGCAAGATTTTACTTACAACTTTTGCTATTAGTGGGCTGTATTGTTTTAATTTCGGAACACCAATACGCAATGCAATGTAGTATTGTATGTAACTTTCCTACGATTTCTAAACGGATATACTGTATTAATTTGAATGTCTAAAAATGCCATTATTGTCAATTTTATCAGAATTTAACGGGTAAAACAGCTCTGACGAATTACTCACCGTACCGTAAACACAATAACGAATTTTCGGAAGTTTTATTCAACGCGAAAATAACAAAGACATAATAGAATATATAAACAGAAAAAATACAACACAATCTTGAGCCAGTTTTGGAGATACTGTTCACTTGCATTATACAACGGCTATAAAAACGATCCAAACTGACGTGAAATGTGAAAATCAGAATGAAATTAATTTGATAATGCCTTGTCACCTATGATTGCACAATAGCTTCTGCTATAGTCTGACTGGAGTTGCAGTTCTGCGGAGGTGGAAGACTCGATACAGGAGAGATAATGAGAAATGACGGAAATGTAGCTCATCGAATTAGGATATATGTAATTAAGTGGTTCCCAATTTTTTTTTCAAGCGACCAAAATTTTGAAAAATGAATTTTGTAATATTTCGCCTAAGGATATGCTCAAATACTGTACTAAATGGCACGTGGTACTTATGTGACCACAAAATGAAATTACAACTAAAAACAATCACTTTTACATAAAATTTATTTTCTTATTATTTATTTCATTATTTTAATTTCATTTTTATTTGTTCACCATCAACGATTTTTTGAAATCATGGCGTGTCTGTACTTAAGCAAAATAGATGCTTCCAAGTTTTCTATGCTATGATACGTTCCACATATACAATTACTCTTAAGCAACACTTCAATACCAAATACAAAGTGAACAATAAAATTTACTAGAAAGGAAAATCAATAACATTTCGGTTTTTGTTGAAAAAAAAAGTAGTCTATAAAAGGTATCAAAAATGTAAATTCTGATTACAACCTTATTACATCGCAGGCCACTTGAAACAGCCTTGCCCTAGCCCACAGGTCGGTAACCTTCACCATTAAAAGAGCCATTTGGAATCCTTTCCGTCAAACTCGGAGCCACAACATCTACTCTAATGTCAGTGGCTACTAAAACTCTCGGAAAACCAATTATGATACGGCGAAATGAAAAGAACTTGAAAAATAAAAAGAAAAAGTTTGTTTTGGCAGAATTGAATCACCAAATGCGTCCTATTTTTCCCGCTCTGAACTTATACCTGCTGTGACGTGTAATTAGTGAGTAGTAATCGACTTTATGCCCCCAACTTTCATTGAATTGCCACTGTTCAAACAAAAAACAGCTGTAGCCATTTTGATTCACGGGAACCAGACCTCCTTGAAAAGTAGCTGCATCCGCAGTTCGCCGATCGCGGCCCTAGCCTATGTCATTTTTGAGTTTAGGAATCCATTATGACGTCATGCTATGTATTTCACTGTTATGTAAAATGTACTGGGTGTCCATAAACATAAAGTCCCTTTAAAATTCCAATTATGTTGTGAAGTCAGTTCTCAATAATTCTTAACCAGGTTTGTTGTTTTTTGATCAGTAATTGTTTAAAGATTTTTATTTCATTTAATACATCTGTGAGGGCTGAAATAATATAATATGGTCTCGATAAATTCCCTTTGCAATTTGAAAAAAATTGAGACTTTATGGACACCCTATATTATGACGTCAAAATATAAAATATTGCGTGGAATGCGAAGTTTTAGTGAGTGATTTAAGTATAGCGAGTTCATTTGAAATAACTTTAGAGAAAACTAAAGGCTGTAATAAAACGTCACGGCACTATCTATCACTCACTCTCTATCTGAACTGGTGAAGTGAGTGAGTGAAGTGAGAGAAATTATTGGTAAATCGGCTGCCTCCGTTTTAAAAAACAAAAACAATTTATATCAATATCAAATAAACGAAATATTTATAACTGTTGGAACAAAAGCAAGTCAATGGCTTCCTAGCACAGCATCTATTGTGTTTTAAGATATGGGATTTACTCTAGATGCCTACGAGATCAAAGCTCGGTTTTTCAAATATTTCGATTTGGTGTTTATCGCTTTTAAAAATCAATCACTTAAAATACTTGTATTGAATGGTATAGATTTTCTTGATTTTCTGATGTTAGTCTTGTTCTGCTGTAATGGTAAATAATGTTATTGTTAAACGCGGAGTCAACTTGGATCATTTTACTAAATTGTTTCCGTCGTGATAAATGAAAAAAAAACTTTTTTGTCTAAAAGTTTTAGACCAATCGCTTCCATATTTTTTATGCGCACTGGTCCTACGAGAGCCGATATTTCACCCCAAATTTTGCTGATTTTAATATTTACGGGCACATGTTCACATGACATTTGGCATTGCCTACCCAATCTATCTATACGTTAAGGTTGAAGGTAAGTAGGCTATTGATAGAGATATACAGGGTGTTCATAAAGTCTCTTACAATTTCGACTTCGTTATGAAGTCAGTGCTCAATCTATCTTAACCAGTTTATTTTATTTCAATCACTGCTTATTACTTATCGATCTTAAGATCGGTAAGTATATTGATAGGTATTTGTCTGTATGTATGTCTGTCTGTGTGTGTGTCTGTTAGATGCACGCGATATCTCACGAAAGCGAGATTGAATCTGCTCCAGATTTTGCATGTGCATTCATCTTATCTCGGACCAGAAGCCTATTGATTTTGGGCGAATTATGTCGTATAATTAGCGAAATATCAATCAATTATTGATATAGTGATCTAGATTTTTGTAAAGCGAGAGAATTTTGAAACCCGCCGAGTGTGTGTGTGCGATGCGCAGTGCGCAAGTTGCAAGAGCGGATGAATCGAAACTGCAGTTTCTGTTTTGGGGGATCCCCTAACTATCGATCGATAAGTCTTCGGTTTCCAACCGATATTCTCGTTTAAGTTTTTACACTAAATAAGACATTAAGGAGACTACTAACTAACTGTATATATCAGTGGTTTTTGAACTTTTTTGAGCTCGACCCAAACCTTTATGAATAGTTTTATGAATACTCGCGACCCAATCTTAAACATCGAAAAATGTATTTTTAATGTTAGTACTCTTTGACTCGAATACATTTATTAGAAACATTCCACTGACTCAGCCTGGAAAGGGAAACTAAAATTTCCCACCATTATATCTTCAATACACGGCTCTATTTTAATGAGCGCAATGCGCAAATCGTCACTAGAATCGAGGCGGGCTTTAGTTTTAATTACCGTCGGTGCCGAAATTTCATGCTCACACAGATGCGTGGTCGCGGAAGGTGTTAGAAATACTATTGACTAGTTTCCAATTATTGGATTCGTTTCTAATTACATGTACCGCTGTCCGTCACAAACACACATCCCGGCTAGGCTATATTTCTGCCTCGCACTCACCACATGTGCACACAATGCTTTGTTCGTAGTAACTGGGGCCTCGAGCTGAAACCACATTATCTCTAGATCTTGAAACATCTCATGTTGAGAGATGAACTTCTTTTTGACCTTCCATATTAGGGTTCACATTACCGAAGAAGTCATCCATTTTTGGTTATTTTGCGTCAGTAAAATGGCATTGTGCGCGCTCAGCACAACGACTAGCGTCCACCACCAACCGGCAAATCCGAAAGTTGCCTGCCCAGAATTACACGCTGCACGATCTTTCCAGCTACGCTCTGGGTGGAGGCGCCAAACAAACCACTACATGGCACGCATTGATCCAGCAATAAGAGAAATCTGCCCTGAGTGCGAAACCGGCCCGCATGACATCCCACATCTATTTATCTTTCCAGCCAAACCAACACACTCAACCACAATGGACCTCTGGGAAAAGCCGGTCGAAGACGCTGTGTTTCTGGGTCTTCAATCACAGAAAGACGAAGGGTGTTAACAACAACTAGCGTCGTGCATGATTACCGACACCATAACACAAGGCACGTGACTGGTATACATATATAAATTTTGATGCAACAATGCGTACAAGACAATTCTTTTCGTAAATGACATTTGATATTTCATTATATGCAATTCAAAAGTCCTGCTGCACAGTAACAAAAATGTATTTCTGTAACGATTCGTCTGACCAAAATCAGACTTCCTCAGACAAGCAGTTCACAACATATTATGGTATTTTTAATCCTGCTACAGCATCCCTGCATTATACGCATACGGATCCTATAGCGCGAAGGCATTGGGAAAGGATTGAGAGGGAATCTCGCGCACCTATACTTATAGTAATATTTCATTGTTTTTAAATACCAAAGTTAAATTGGACCAGATGAAAGATTCGGCCTTTCCTCTTAGATCGCACTTGCTCTGCCGACCTTGGCGCGACTCATGCTTTAAGACTCACTGGTATATATGGTATCGATAAATTCCCTTTGCGTTTTAAAAGATTTCAGAAATTACTGAACAGCATGTATATCTTTATCAGGGATCTACTTACCTTTATGTAAGACCTCTTGACATTGTTTTTATCAAAAGTATATGGAAAGACACCAAAACCTTTGCATTTTTGTATAAAATGCTTAGTAACTATGAGATACATTCAGATGAGTTACGTTATTCTGAATTCATGTCTACCAAAATCTTCCAGCATTGTATCCGATAACTTTTTGTCTATACAGTTGCTCAACTTGCTTCAGTGATTAAAATGAGTTGCTATGAAATTATTGACTATACCTAGGAGTCTAATACATAACAATTAGGTCAGCGATACCAGCGCGATCGGGAGAGTGCGCCTAAACTTTATATACCGTCGCGCTCTCACTGTAGTTTTTCTTCATTGAATACCTCGAATAAAAGCGAAAGCAAAGGGGAAAAACGGCTTGTTCAGATATTGCGCAATGCATATTTGAAATTGAGACTGTGATCCAGACTATATAATTCTAAATTTATTTTCCATCTAAGTATGAAAATTCGAATCAATTAAATCTTTATATCAGATAGTATAGCGAGCAATTATACTTGCAAGCGCAGATCGTGTATTATTAAATCATGGAGTTGATTTTTTCGTTCATTCCCTTGCTATATAGCCATATATATAACTTGTTCTATACTGTTCTATACTAATAATCCTAATGATTTATCTAAATCACATACTATAAATATAACAGCTAACTAGATAAAATAAATATTGAGATTTTCTTTTGTTGGTAGACTGCATTATATTACTTGCATATTGCATATAGATATAATGAAACTTGATTATTGCGAGATTATTTAGAAAATGTTGCGATACCTGTAACGTCACAATGTCTGTTTATATACATCATTCTTCAAATCATGCCGTGCGCATGCGGGGAAAAAATGATTTCGACGCGTCGCCATTTTGGAGAGACGAAGTATACAAAATAGAGAGTCGACATAGTTTTATTATAAATATTATCGATAGATATAGTTATTGTGCTAGCCAAGCAAGCTTAGGATGAATTCTTTGTATGAAATTGAAGAAACGTTTCATGATTTTTAATTCCAAATAGGAAATTTTTGTTTATCAAGGGCAGGTTTTGTATGCAAACATTTAACGCCAAATCTAAGATGAGTAAAGGCAATATTTGGTTATTAGGTTCTGTTTATTTGTTGTTTTTCACGTAAAAATTTACAAAATTCGATTGCTTAGAGGGCAGGCAGTTCGGAAAACTAAAACAACAATTATTAAAAAATGATTATCTACATTGCTATAAAATTACAGCCACGAAAGCTAAAGTTACGAGTTGTTGAGCCTCTACTGATAAATCATATTTATGGAATAATGACTGCTAAAGAGACGTAAATTCCACATAATCGACGCCGTCAAGGAGGTGCGTTGACACACACGGTAAAGATAGCTTTTTTGTTTTGGTCGTTATTTTTTTTTTTGAATTTTTCAATGAGGTTAATAAGTCTTGTTCAAATGGGTAAAAAATAAATACGGTGAAATAAATGAATTTATCTAAAGCTGAAAAAGTACCCCCTTTAACATACTTGTTTTTAAATAATTCTATAGTTTTTATCGTACTAATGTCTTTATTTTATGAAAATGCTAGGAATATATCTATACTAATTTATCTAAGCTACAACAAATCTAAAAATTATTATACTTTTTAATTTTTTTTTACTGTAGACTCTTTTATTAAAAAGGAATAAATTTTATTCATCACTAATGTTGTTTATTTATCGATAATTTGACCTTGACTCTCCCCCCCCCCCCCCATTCATTGTGACCAGAACTGGTATTATGAAGTCGAGATTTTCTGGTGCCGTGAAGTTTCAATACAGCTTTTAGTTTTCTCTAAAGTTATTTCAAAGGAACTCACTATACTTAAATTACTCACTAAAACGTCGCATTTCACGCAATATTATATATTTTGACGTCATAATATAGGGTGTCCTCAAAGTCTTAATTTTTTTTAAATTGCAAAGGGAATTTTTCGAGACCTCACAGATGTATTAAATGAAATAAAAATACTTAAGCAATTACTGATCAAAAAACAGCAAACCTGGTTGATATATATTGAGAACTGACTTCATAATAAAATTGAAATTGTGAAGGGACTTTATGGACACCCAGTACATTTTACATAACAATGAAATACATACATGACGTCATAATGGATTCCTAAACTCAAAAATGACATAGGCTAGGGCCGCGATCGGCAAACTGCGGATGCAGCTACTTTTCACGGAGGTCTGGTTCCCCTGAATCAAAATGGCTACAACAGTTTTTTGTTAGAACAGTGGCAATTCAATGAAAGTCGGGGGCATAAAGTCGATTACTACTCCCTAATTACACGTCACAGCAGGGATGAGTCCAGAGCGGGAAAAATAGGACGCATTTGGAGATTCAAATCTGCCAAAACAAACTTTTATTTTTCATTTTTCAAGTTCTTTTCATTTCGCCGTATCATAAATGGTTTCCCGTGAGTTTTAGTAGCCACTGACATCAGAGTAGATGTTGTGGCTCCGAGTAGGTTTGAGTTTGACGGTAAGGATGCTAAATGGCTCTTCCAATGGTAAAGGTTGCCGACCTGTGGGCTAGGGAAAGGCTGTTGTTTCAAGCGGCCTGCGATGTAATAAGGCTGTAATCAGACATTTTTGATACCTTTCATAGACTCAAGTATGTTTTGTGATTTTGACGTGAGTATTTGGGTCATCTAATTCTCGCGACCAAAAGCTGGAAATTCTTTTGGGTCTTTTTTTTCAACAAAAATCTAAAATGTATTGATTTTCATTTCTAGTAATTTTATTGTTCACTTTGTATTTTGTATTGAGGTGTTGCTTAGGAGTAATTGTATATGTGGAACGTATCATAGCATAGAAGACTTGGGAGCATCTATTTAGCTTAAGTTAAGCCACGCCGTGATTTCAAAGCATATCCTTGGCGAAATTTATTCTTACAAAATTTGGTCGTTTGAAAAAGAGTTGGATATGGTTAAGTTGGAAACCACTTAACCATATATCCGAATTCGGTAAGCTACATTTCCGTCAGTTCTCCTCGTCGCGCCTGTATCAAGTCTTTCGCCCACCGCAGAACTGCAACTCTAGTCAGACTATAGCGAAAGCTATCGCGCAATCATAGGTGACAAGACATTTTTCAATTAATTTCATGCTGATTTTTACATTTCACGTCAATTTTAATCGTCTTTATAGCCGTTGTATAATGAAAGTGAACAGTATCTTCACCACTGGCCCAAGAATGTGTTGTTTTTTTATTCATATATTCTATTATGTCTTTGGTATTTTCGCGATATATGAGGAGCTATTATTATTGGTAGGACCGGAATCTTTCCGGTTTGGAATGCCGATAAAATTGACAATAATGGCATTTCTACACATTCAAATTAATACAGTATATCCGTTTAGAAATCGTAGGAAAGTTACATACACTACTGCATTGCATTGTTTATTGGTGTTCCGAATGTTCCTAGGCCCTAGGGCATCTCTCATCGTCTAAAGGGCTACAATGCAGCATTAGCTTAGAACAGCTATCTAATAAACATTAAAATATATGTAAATATAATTCGTTATTTTCTAATAGATCACTGTAATTCTATAAGTAGCGACATTGGAGAAGCGAGGAGTGATTTTTTTGATTGCAATTGTGAGAATCACACTATTCTACGACTACGGCTGTCACATTCTACGACAAAAAGTATTTTATTTTTGCTATTTCAGTTTGTGTTGCATTGAATCGATGATATAAAGACAGTTATAATGAATGAAACAAAAACACAGACTCCTACACTGGATCAAATATTGGGTAAACAATTTTTCTAAATTATTCCATGTATAAAAATTATGTTTACGAATCACTCAGAGATGTTTTCAAGAACACCAGTGCTTGATAATGCAGTCTCTCACACTTAAACAGAAACCTTAGGTTATATGAATTTCACGTTGTAGTTGATAACTTGCCACGGGTGCCTTGAATGCTAATGGATTGATAAATTTATTAAACGTATCTTGAGAAAATTCAATTATATATAATTATGTTGATTTTTTGGATTATCTGAAGATAAATATCTTAAAACCCCGAGCAAAACTAAAAACACTTATTTCAAATTAAACGTGATGTTTATTTCGTTTATAGGTTAGCAAGTATATTACTATATGAATTTTAATGGCGATTCGCGAACGCTAATTTAATGAATTTTGCTCAAAAATATGACTTTTGTATAAATCAGGTCATGTCAAAAAAATCACTGAACATCCCACTTTATTACTTACACGAATTCCATATTATTTATTATTGTTTGGAGGTGTCAAATAAAAATATATAGTTAACAAATTCTGCCTACGTGACCACGGTCATGGACAAAATGAAATGTTTACATCATTGAAGATAAAAAGATAAATCGCTAACTCTAAATCAGTCGAATTCTCACTACATATTTGCATACAAACTGGGTCACTTGACGTGTCATTTACCTCCAGGCCAGAATAAAGTTAGAATTAAGGTTAGAATTCTGATGACTGGGCGAGATCGGCGTAGTTATGAGGTAAACAGCGGTGAACTTGAATGATTACCATTCACTATAATATTATCACAAAAGCGTTACCCGATTTCTTTCACGATGAACTAACAACCAACTTATCAACAAATCTATTTTTTAATCATAAATATAATTTTTTAGAATAGATTTATAATCGTAAATTTTTTGAGAAATATGGTAGATCGTATATGTCTCTGATAATCTCGTTTATTTCAAACATTTCGAACCAAGAATAGTAAAAAGACATGGCATACGTCGGTAACTTATACTGCATTAGCAAATTGAAAATCTGAAAAATGTTTTTAGTCAAAATATTTAGATGGGCATACGAAGGTAATCCTAAAACACGAAATGTAATGATGATAGCGTCGCAAATTCATGGGACAAACCTGATCACAAGCAACAATGCCACAGTAGCAGCTTCCTAGTGGCTGGAGCGTTAAACTTGATTATTTATCTTGGTATCACAGGTTACCAGGCTCACCAACTTACGCCGGATGTAATAAATTGGGTAAGCAATGACGAACCGTAAAGATGCCGGTCTTTCCAAAAATGGTAGCTCATAACACATCACGTGA